TTTTTTTTTTGCAGTACAGTGGGCTTAAACTCAGGACCTTTGCACTGATCTACATCCCTTGGCCCTTTTCTTATTTTTTATTTTGAGACACTAAATCACTAAGTTGCCCAGGCTGGGCTTGAACCTTCAATCCTCCTACATCAGCCTCTTTGAGTGCTGGAGTTACAGGCATGTGTTACCAAACCAAGCTCTGCATCTTTTTGTTGTTGTTGTTGTTTGTTTTTTGAGTCAGGGTCTCACTATATGTAGTTCAGGCTGCTGGGCTTGAACTCACTGTGTAGCCCAGGCTGACCTGGAATAGTAGGCAATCCTCCTGCCTCAGCCTCCCAAGTGCTGGCATTATAGGTGTGTGCCACCACACCTAGCTACAATTTTTTATTTTGAGACAGGGTCTCACTAAATCCCTCAATTGCCCAAACTGGGCTCAAAGTTGTAATCCTCCTGCCTCAGCTTTCCAGAGGGCTGGTATTACAGATGTGTGCCATTAGGCCTGTCTGTGACTATTCTGAACTTCCTCATTCACTATATTTTGTTTTGTTTTGATTTTGGTGCTGGTGACCAAACCTAGCACCTTGGACATGCTATGCTCACACTATATCACTGAGCTACATTGCTAGCCTACTATGTGGTTTAAGGACTTCTTCTCAAGGAGGTCTAAATAAGACTGAAAGGCCTAAAGCTTATAGTGTGGCAGGGGTCAAAATTAGACTTCAGCAAGAAAAAAGCACAGACTGACCTACACTGACCTCAGGAAGGCCACAGAGCTCTTGGTCTGAAGCCAAAGCTGTTAGAATGTGAGGCCATGCCCAAGGACCCAGATGGTGTCCCCCATGCTGGCCAGAGTCTCCAAGGGAACTGCAAAAAGGGGAAGGGACCTTTGCAACTCTCTGTAGAGGGCTAAGGAGGCAATGGGATGAAGAGCAGCCACCCAGAAAGACAGAGTTAGGTGGGAAAGTGTCCTCAGGTTCTGCTGTGGCCCTGTAATCTCTGGATAAGCAGAAGGCTCTGGGCCTCCACCCTGATAGCACAAAGGCTGCTTATCATGGTACTCAGACTACCCCCACCCAGGCCCAGATGCTACCCTGGTCCACACCCTGATCATAGCACCCCCCACTCCCAGTCAGGGGACAGCCACAGGATCACTGACTGGCTGAATTATCCCTGTCCTCCACTTCTAGGGCCCCTGGGTTCTACCCACAGTTAGCTTCCGACTTGATCCCCAGGGACTAAGGTAGACACTTAGGCAGTGAGTAGCATGCAGTCTGGTGCGTCATACCCTTATTCTGGAAAAGGATCTTCAGGGTCTGTGAGTCTCTGAGTAAAAGTGGCCTGGGGGAGAGTTACAAACAGGAAAGGGGTTTACAGGGAAGCAGGAACAAACAAAATGATAAATTTTTTTTTTTGGTACCAGGAATCAAACTTAGGGCCTCACGCTTGCCACGCAGATGCTATGCCACTGAGCTACATCCCCAATGATAGTTTCTTAACTTGGCCAGAGTACCTAGGTTGACACTTTCTCACCCATTATTGCTCACTTAATTCTTACAGCTTGGTGAGGTGTTTCATCGTCAAAGCTCAGAGAAGTGCAACTTGCCCCAGTCTCACAGCTAGTAAGACAGAGGGAAGTAGGAGGGAAGAGAACTGGCAATATTGGATGTGTGCTAGGATCTGGTCTGGGTGTTTGAGATGTGTGTTTATAGAAACATCATAATCACCCTATAAGATAGGTATTGATAGCTCCCATTTTACATTTGAGGAAACTGAGGCTAAGCACACTTGGTCCAAAGTCACAGAGCTGGATGCAGTGAGCTGAGACCGTCATTCAGGGCCTCTCACCACTATAAATGGTCTCAATCTGCTTTCAAGAATTAGGGCCAGGGGGCCGGGGATTTAGCTCAGTGGTTTCGCCGCCTGATGTGCAAGCGCAAGGACTTGAGTTCGATCCCCAAT